CCTAATATAAAATAAAATTTTAAGAAAAACTAGAATAAGAACAAGAACAAAATCGTGTGCTAACTTACACTTTTTTTTCCTTTCCCGCGGGAGTCTATGTTGCTGGCGCTGAAGTTATTTCGCGGCGCGTTTATTTATCGTTCTTCCGCATGAATGGAGAATGATTGGAGTTCCTAATAGAAATCACCCCTCTCCGCATCGCATGGGCAAGCCCGATGGAATGCGGTGTCGGTGGTGTAGCGCACACAGGCGCAGCAGCAGCAGCAGCAGCAGCAGCAGCAGCAGCAGCAGCAGCAGCAGCAGCAGCAGCAGCAGCAGTCGCACCGTGCGATATACGGGCGACACGCGAGCGCTCGGGTGTATTGTTTTAATCCAGTGGGGCGTTTGGATTACTGCGACGCCGCGCGCCCGGCACGCACGCACCGCAGCGTGCACGCGCACGTGCGCTGCTGCTGCACAGGCTGCCCATCCGGCTCAGCTGCAGCAGCAGCAAGGGTCTGCCGGCGAGCGTGCAGCGCGGCAGCCGTGGCGCCGCAGCCGCGCTAAGCCACTTTGTTCGCTGCGTATATCGGGTGGGCGGCGCCCCATGGCTGCAGCGGCGGCGGCGGCCGGGCTTAGCCATGCAGTCCTGGCGAGAAAAATGAGGCTCGGCTCCTGATTCATGCGCGCCGCAGCGGCGGACACAGAGAGGACGCGCCGCCTGGAGAGCGCCGCTGTAAATCCTCGTTCGGCTGCCAAATTGGCAGCAGATGATCGCTGGCCGATATGTGTTGTACGGCCTGCTCTGGGTTCCCCTTATTATGACGTCTTCTTGAAATCATAAAAAGAAAATATCAAAAAGGAACTTTTGGTAAGGATTTGTCCGTGGGTTGAGTACAATAGTGTAAGCTCACACACCTCCTATTTTCATGTTCTAAACTAAAATGTGTTCTAATCGCGACACATGTATCAAATTTATGAGTAATATCGTATTTGTTTTAATAAATTGGGGATCGTCCACAAAGTACGATTCTTTCGGCATATGAGGAAAGCTCGGCGCCTGCGAGACTCTGGGTAGGCCACCCCGCCGTACACGCACGAATCGCGGGTACGGTATTGCCTACCCATCAGGCGCTATGCGAGCTTACAGTGGCTAAAATTTGAACTTGTCGGGTTCGTAAAGGCAAACAACGGACGTACGCCCTTTCTGGACGATCCAATAAGTCTTGTGTCTGCTACCACAAGAATGTACTCGGGACAAAACAAGAAGCGGGGTGCACCACGCTCTCCCCCAGCAGAGGGCAGCAGACACTGGACCAGACAGTTCGACACCCTCTCTGCGGAGCTATCCGGTCCAGATCACCTGACCTGGAGGAGGTATAATTCACGTCTGCAGCCCCGAGGTCTTAACCCCGTCCCCGCCGGTCCCCGTCCGATCTCCGCCAGCCCCAGCAGCACCGACCGACCTCTGGACCTCCGACCGACCTCTCGAGCCGACCCGTCCGACCCAGGGACGGTTGACCCCTCTGTGCTTCCGCGGGCAGTGTCTCCCCTGGAAACACACAGTGGTGTCCTGTGATTTGGACCCCACCTCTTCCCCCCTCTCCATCTCAGTCGTCGTCGTGCTACTCTCCTTACTCCTCCTCCCTTCACTTACTCTCTCTCTCCCACCCATCTCCCCGCACCGCCGTGCCTCCCAGCACCCAAGCGAACACGATGCCTCCTCTGCAGAGCAGCAGCAGCGCCCCCGCACCGGCAGCGCAGCGCGCGCGTCGGCCCTCTAGAGTATGCGCGTTTGCGATTAGCTTATGCTGTTGGAGCTCTACCCTACCCCTCCATCCTCCCCTCCTCTTTCTCTTCGACGAAGATCTCTAATTAGCTGCGCGTTTTCACTCCAGTTTTCGGCGTCTACTGCTCGCGTCATCGCCCCTCGTCGCGAGGAGCGGCGCGGAGCGGCGGCGCGGAGCGGCGGCGCGGAAGCGAGAAGCGCGCGCGCCGCCCCAACGCCCCGCCTGCCCCACGGCACGTCCTGCCCGTATGCGCCACGCAGCACCCCGCCACGCCCCGCCACGCCCCGCCACGCCCCGCCACGCCCCGCCACGCCCCGCCAC